AGAAAGGAGCAGGAAAGGGCAGAAAGGAGCAGGAAAGGGCAGAAAGGGCAGGAAGGGGCAGGAAGGGGCAGGAAAGGGCAGGAAAGGGCAGGAAGGGGCAGGAAAGGGCAAAAAGGACAGGAAAGGGCAGGAAAGGGCTGTATCCTTGTGCACAGGTACCGCCGGCGGAGGCAGAGCTGCCCCAGCTGCCACCATTCCTGGTGTGAGGAGCTGCAGGACCAGGACATGACCCTCAGGAAGGTAGGAATGGGAGCAGGAGCACGTGGAGGGGATCTGGGATACAGGTGTGCCCTGGGGTGGGGCAGGAGGGTGCAGAGCCCACGGGCATCCCTCCCATCCCGGAGGTTTGGGCGGGGCATGGCCGGGTTTGGTGGCCAGATTTGGTCCCTGTGCTGCTTCCACCTCCGGAGCAGAGGCTGCCCTGCCCTTCCAGGTGGATTTCATCTGGATAAACCGGGATCAGAAGCACTTTGAGTGGTTCCTCAGCCTCCTGAGCAAGCTGGAAAGGGAGCAGGCGGAGCTGGAGCCGGGAGGTGAGAGGGAGGCAGGGCCAACATTCCCGGGACATCCCCCATCCATCCCAGCGCGGGGGTGCGGGTCCGCGGTGCCAGCCGGGCTCCCCTGGCACCCCCAGGGCGGTTCCTGGAGCTCCACCTGTACATGACCTCGGCCCTGGCGAGGAGCGACGTGAAGGCCCTGGGGCTGCAGGTGGCGCTGGATCTGCTGGCAGCCAAGGAAAAGCGGGATTCCATCACCGGGCTGCGCACGCGGACACAGCCCGGCCGGCCCGACTGGGGCAAGGTGGGGCACCGGGACACGTCCCAAAACTGTCCCGGGGGAAGGGGAACCAGGGATAGACCCCTCTGGGTGCGCTGGGACATCCAGATCCAGGACAGGGAATGCCAGGGGGGCACGGGGAACCTGAGCTGTGCCAAGGCAGGCAGGGATCAGAAATCAGGGAATGGCTTAGGGTGGAAAGGTCTGTAAAGATCCATAAAATCCTTAAAGGTTCCAACTCCCTAATCCAGCCCAGGGATCACAGAACCGTGGAATGGGTTGGAAAGGACCTTAAAAATCATCCCACTTCAACCCCCCAGTCCAGCCCAGGAATCATAAATCATGGAATGGGTTGGGGTGGAAAGGACCTTAAAGATCATCCCATTCCAAGCCCCTGACCCACCCCAGGGTCATAAACCATGGAATGGGTTGGGGTGGGAGGAGCATTAAGGATCATCTCATTCCGACCCCCTAATCCACCCCAGGGATCATAAATCATGGAATGGGTTGGAAAGGACCTTAAAGATCATCACGTTCCAAACCCTAATCAGGCCCAGGGATCATAAGCCATGGGTTGGTCTGGGAGGGATCCCCTAATCCAGCCCCCAATCCCCTGGATCCAGCCAGCACTCCCTCTCCCCCTTTCCCCTGTGCTCCAGGTGTTTGGGAAGGTGGCCCAGGAGCAGGTTGGGAAGGTCCAGGTGTTCTTCTGTGGCTCCCCAGCCCTGGCCAAGGTCATCCGGGGGCACTGCGAGCGCTTCGGCTTCCGCTTCTCCAGGGAAAACTTCTGAGCCGGGGCCTTCCCGCCCTGCCAGGCCTGCCCAGGGATGGCACCCGGGCTTGGAGCTGCTCCACCGGGGCTGGGAAGAGTGGGGATGCACGATGGGATGGGCCACGGGGATGTGGGATGGAGGGGTGGGATCCTGGAGCCACGTGGGATGTGGAGAGGGGTGTCCTGGAGCATCCACGGTGGGGTGGAGGGGGAGAACCAGGGTCCCAGGGATTTGGGATGGCAGGGATGGGCCCTGTGTCACCTGGCAGGGATTTGGGATGGAGGGGATGGGTCCTGTGTCACCTGGCAGGGAT